GCTGTTGAAGGAAACGAAGAGAAGGGGAGGAAGTCACTTTCCAGCGGGCCAGGGGAGGGGAGGGGCCACGCGGGGCCCTCGCCTGGGGAGCAGGGGCCGTGGGTGGGCCCCTACTTCCTCCGTCCTCCTCCTCCACCTCCCGAATCTCTTCCGCCAGCCGAGGTCCGGCTGCCCCGAGCGGGGCCTGGGCTGGGTATGCTGGGGGCTCTGCCGGGCACAGGAGCTGACGGGCTCCACGCCAGGCCCGGCCGCCGTGGTGGGGCAGCGGGGGGACCAGGCAGGCCCAGGTACCTCGCCATCACTGTCCTGCAGACACCTCAGGTGAGGTGGTGACGTGCCCGGAACTGCCTTCAGCGGGGCGCAGCCCCGAGCCCGAGGCGGTGGGCCGGCGTTTCATGGCGGCTGCTTGTCCCTCGGCCTTGGGGCAGAGTGAAGGCTGGACGCACTGGCCAGCTGGGCTCCCAGCCTGCCGGGCTGGGCCCCTGTGCTGTCTGTGAGCCCTGCGACCCTGGGCCGGGGAGACACAAAGGGCGGTGTGGGAGCAGAGCAGTGCCTGCCGCTGAGCTCTTCTGGTTTGTGTCGGTTTCAGGGGCTAAAATGAGTGGGCCGGAGGGGACTGCGCCCCGGACGCCCGAGAGCTTCTTTGTAACTGCCGAGGACTGCCAGAGGCTTTTCCCCCAGAAACTGAGAGAATCCTTCAGGGTAAATTGATCGCACCTCTCTGCGCTGGGCCAGGGCGGCCCTGTCCCCACGTGGGCCCTGGCCTCCTGGTGAGGCCCCGGAGCCACCTGGCCTTGTCCTGCTGCCTCCCAGAGCCGGGCTTGGCCCGCTCCCGTGCCCGGGAGGGTGCTGGAGTCCGCTGCCCTCCCCTGCCTGCCTGCTGGGTCTGCCCTCTGCCTCTGGAAGGCCCCGAGGACAGGGGAAGGTCGTGAGCTGTGTCGCCGAGGATTGGGTCTGCCCCATTCCTGCCCACCCTGCGAGCTCACTCACTAGACGCGACTCACACTGCGCCGGGATCTCTGCGGCGTGTGGGAGGCAGGTCCTGCCGGCAGGCGGCTCAGTCCAGCCCAGCGCCGGGCAGGCAGCTGGCGCACGGGGAGGCCACGGTGGCAAGGGACCACGTGCGCGTGGGGGCACTGGGAACAGCGTGGAGGGCTTCCTGGAGGCGGCGGCCCTGGGCCGTGGCTCTCAGGCCCTTGGCGTGCGCTGGCCAGAGAGAGGGAAGTCGGCGGTGGCAGCAGGGACGCGCCTCCCGGGCGCCTCTTGTGGGCGCGGGGAGAAGCCGCAGCTTGGCGTGGCGGAGGCGGTCAGGGGAACCAGACCGTGCCGGGCCCCGCCGCCCGCCGGAGGACATCGTGAGGCCGGCGAGCCCGAAGCCTTCCTCCTGGCAGAGGGCGCGGGCCAGACCCCCGGGGAGACCTGGGCAGGCGCCCCACCGTCCCTGCGACTTCCGGGCACCGGCCTC